TTCAGCTGCCTGCGTGCATGTTGGAGGTGGAAGATACCTGAGCGTGTAATGTTAATTTTTACCTGTGTTCATGGAATAAATCAGCTCTGTTTTGTAGTTACTTGGACTGCCTCGTCTCTCAGAGTTAGCATGGTACAAAGAACCGGAATACAACAGTAGTAATTAGTAAAGTAGCATCTTCAACACTAATTAAAATTACACATACCATATTTGCTGAAATCACATTTGCTGAAGGTGATTTCTTTCATTTTAGGAAGATATTATGTTTTTGTCATTTTTCTGTTAGGTTTGTATTTAATGATTTATTTGATGATATAAAAAGGGGCATATTTCAGGTGATATGACCGCTTTGATTGGTGGCCGGATACCAGCTGGTCACTTCTGTATATATTGCAAAAACGCAAGCTGGCTGCTCCCATATTGGCAATTTTGGCTTCACTTGTGCATTTTCTCATTTCTAGAATGAAACAGCAGCACACATCCCTGTGGTGTCTCTGACAGGACCACTGGTGGGAAAAGAAAGGCATTGATGGTTGTAGACCATAGAAGAGGAAGAGGGTCTCTGATTCTGCCTTTGAAAACATGAGAGACAAAGAAAAGCCTCTGCAAATCAAGCGGGCACAAGAAAGAGGCAGAGGACTTAAAAGAGTGAAGAGGGCATTGTCAGGGTGACGGGCACAAAAAAGGAAATGAAGTTGAACCAAGAAAATGACTGAAGGTCTCCAAACTGGAGACCTTCGAGAAGAGAGCACCACTGCATCCTCACTGGGTGCTGCAGCACCTCAAAAGAGAGAAAGTACCAGCAGCTGAGACCATTGGGTGAGGGGGGGCCACAGATGCTGCGTCACCTCATGTCGGCTTTGTTAGGTCAGCTGGATTGAAAAAGTGGCACATGAACACAGCACACAGACTACAGCAGTCGGCCAACTAGCATGTATGTTCTGCACATATGTGAGGGAAATAGCTCCCCCTACCAGCAGGTTGTGGTATCACTATTCACCATTCAAGTGTAAACAAAGCAGCTGTCGTTCGACACAAGTGCTGTTTATAGCTGCTTCTAGTCAAATAAGAAGTTGCAAATGAAACAGCCATTCTCTGCCTTTAAGCTTTTGCACTAAATGTGAGAATTCATGGATACTACAGTGACAGGCTTAAGGGGCTTTCCTGAACTGTTCTCCTCTTGTGCACTGATTTACTAAGCTGAACAGCTAGTCAGATGATCTCTCACCAACGAGCCAAGGCCGATTCAACATGCCAAATCAGCCAAAAAGCCACCAACAGGGTCTGATTAGTGCCAACGGTGCAGGGCACCAAGAAGATGACCCAATAAACACTTACCAACGGACTGATGGTGGCCGATGGCCGACTGTCAACTTGGCTGTCACGGCTCTAACGTTAGTTGCTTTTGCATGAAGGCTGAAGTGAGTGTTCTAGCCAGACAAGGGTGGCCAGGATGCAGTGCCTCATGACAAACCTGAGAGCTGTTTTCTACGTGAATGAGAAACAAGCAAATGGCACCATGACAGACTTGTGGTTCCCTGCTTTTACTGTTGATCTGAATGTGAGCATTGGACTTCTGTCTTAACTTGATGAGAGACTGACTGCTCCTGATATTCCTCCCTGGTGTAGCTATAAAGTAATTCCCCAACACATGATTTTATTGTGTTTTAACTTTTGATAGCTACTGTGTGTTGTCTTTCGTTCACTGATTCAGTTTAGAGCAACCAGGTATAGAAGCTATCTGACAAAATTACTGCATTCTTTAAAGCTTTGAAGGCATTTGGTGTGGAGGCTGAAAGCTATGTTTTTTGGCTATAGATGAGATGATATATTCAAAAAGCTATTTAGAAATTTTAGACTAAATGGCAATTGAAGTTGTATTTGTAAGCTGTAACAATAAGTATGCCTTGATCAGATGTACAACTAGCTATGAGACCACACATTTCATTAACATTCTTGTAGCTGTTCACATTCACCTACAACTGTCAGGTCCGCTCGGTGCGACCTGCTTCTCTTCTGCCTTTCTCCCTCCTGCTCGCTCTTTTTGCGGGATCGGCACCCCAGCTAACCGTGAGAACTATACAGTGTAATCCCTGTGTATTATGGCGAATGAAGCAGAAAACACAACAACCTGCCTCGTTATTTAAACCTCTGGCAGACGCTCTGTCGTCGCTGGAGCATTACACTATGTGAGACACGAAAATGTTGAGGAAGTATTGACAGGTTGAGTGAATGGCGAGGTTTTTGTTTTTGTGTTATATAGGGCCACATGTTGTTGGCGTACTTTCCTAGCTATGTGTATCTGACGGCGATGCCATGATTATCTCTGGCGCCGCCTCTCCTTCAGTTCCTGTCTCTGGGAGGGTCGGCCTGCGCGCCGACGCTGCCTCTCCAGTTTCTGTTTCCGAGTGGGTCGGCGACAACGCCACTCTCCAGCTTCCTGCTCTGAGTGGGTTGGTATTGACGCCACTCTCCTCCTGCCTGCACCAGAGGGGTTCGACGACGACACGGCCCTGCTTCCTGCACCTGAGGGGTTCGCTGTCATCCCGGCCCCTGCCTGTGGGTTCTCCATCCAAGCTGCACCAATCCAGCAGCCACCGTCCTAGCCATTTCCTGTCTGGCGCCTTGGTCGGCCACTCCTCCGGGGCCCTGTCCGGTCCTGAGATCGTCCTTTTGAACGGCGTCTACGCTCCCTAGCCTGGCACCGAGGTCGTCCTCCTGAACAGCCGCTATACTCCCAAGCCTGGCGCCGGGGTCGTTGTCCAGAAGTGTCCTTCTTCGCCCCCTGGCCTGACGACTAAGTCGCCCTCATGAACTGCCCTTCTTCGCCCCTGCCTGGTACACATGGGTCGCCTCGGGTGTCCCTGCCTTTTCTTTTGGCCTGTGTACTCCATTTTGGGACTTTAGTTATTTCTGGACTTTGTACACTGCTTCTGGGGCTTTTTGTTTTTGTGTGACTGCAGGGGTTGTTTTTTTGTTTGGGCCACTTTCCTAGCTACTGTATGTGTATCTGATGGTGATGCCGTGATTACCGCTGGCGAACTTTCCTAGCCATGAGTAGCTGACGGTGATTTTCCCAGCCGTGGGTACCGGACGGCTAGCGCTTCAGCTAGCACTACACTAGCCCTGTTCTTCTCGTTCCTGTGTCCCTCCTGTCGCCGTTCTCCTGTCTACCCCCCTTGCCTTGTCCTGGTCCTCTACTCTCATGTTTCCTGCAATCCTCCTACTCATCTGCTCATCCTAGACTCCTCAGCCATCCCTGCCCTACCCTGGTTATTGTACTATACGTTGACTCTGTCACCTTGTTTGTGTGTTTTTAATACTTTTTTTTTTTTTTTTTTTTAGTACTAGCACCTGGGTCTGCATTTAGTTCTACCTCAGTTCTCCCTCATGACTAAACCATAACAAAAACAAAGAATTTAACACTTACCTGCATCCTGCACTATATTCAAGTATCCACCTTCAGAAACCTGTGGAAGAAATACAACATCATGGAACAAATCAGGACTGACAAGCAGAATGCATGAGTAACCAAGCAATAAAGACATGGGAGTTATTATATTGTGAGATCTTTACACTGTTTTTATTCAACAGATCTGAGTCTCATAAGGTACTGAAGACCAGTGTTGGTCTTCAGTGAACTATGCATTAGCTTCTAGTAGAAGCTGTGTGAGGCTATTTTGAACCTCACGCATCGCACCAGATGGTGACATCATCCATCAAACGCTTGACCAATTATGTCATGGGAAAAAGAGTCTTTTGTTGACCTTGTTTACAGGATCAGTCTGAACGCCCATTTATTCTGGCAAAAACACAACTCCCTGCTCTGTTTTGATGCATGGGATGTGTCGGTTGGGGGGTGGGGGTGGTCACGCTACACATTACCAGTCTGTGAGTTTCCATTGTGTTTTGGTTAGCCATGCTGCTACTCTACCGTAGCACTAATTCTGCCACCAGTGTGTCGGCACTTATGGTAAAAATACCATTTATTATCCTGTACTAGTGAAAATGCATGGTGTGTCATTCACTCATGAAATCAGACAGAAGAGAATCGTGTGTCATTCACTCATGAAATCAGACATTAGAGAATCCAGTCAGCTGAGTTTGTGGCAAAACCTTTGACAGTGCTTGAACATTGTTCTCTTTTACTGCATTCATACTCAAATTAGAACTGAAGTGACATTCATTACAAGATAAATCATTTCAAAATGCACCTGTATTGTTTTGCATTTTGTGACTTTCAGTCGAATAAAAGACTTTTTTCCAGTCATAGTCTTTGCCACTGAAGATTTCTTTAAAAATAGTGTTAAAATATTGTCTTGTGAACCCAGTATCATGTATTGTCACACTCCCATTTGGTCAGTGGAGAAGTTGATTATGCTGCAGCAGCTGTTGGAGATGAAATGATAATCACTTTTATTGGCCAAGTAAGTTACACACAGAAGGAATTTGTTTCTGATACAGAACCGAGGCAGCGCCAACTTACACACACATCAATGGCAGCTCTGTCCCTACAGGGCCATGAGCCACAGCCACCTCTAGACTAAATATAGATGTTGAAATATGTTTTGCTGTGAAACAGGCTCCTCATTGTAACCCAATGGAACCGTGATAAAGCCAAGCTGCCTATAGCTGATACATTCTATACACTGGAGCCAGAAACAAACTTTTGAGAACCATCTTTCAAGCCTGCAGGTGCTGAGTGTTTAATGTTGTTGGTGGAATATTTCTTTAAGCTTATTTTACAGTACACTGATGGCGCAAGTTACAGTATGTGTGGAGTTTAGCCGAGGCTAATTGGTGTTTGGGCTCTTTGAAGGTTTTTGGTTGCTGCTCTGATTTCATTGTAAAATGTGTGGTTACCAATGACTGGGCAGTCAGAAAGACATAGACACTGTTGTGATTGACCTTTTGTATATTGTAATGTGATATCAAGTTGAATGACATAAAAACATAAATTCAGGATTGAATTAAATGAAAATGACCAAACAGTGTTGCTTGACAAAAACCCTTAGAGTCCAACATATCTTGAAGTGGATATACTGTAATGTACGTAATAAGGTGACCACAGACTGATCGACTGCATAGACATAAATATGTCCATCATCTATTAAGCTTATTCCTGAACAGGGTCATGGGGGTGCTGGAGCCAATCCCAGCTGACATTGGGCGAGATCCACCCTGGACACATTGCCAGTCCATCACAGAGCTGACATGTAGACAAACAACCACACACTTACTCCTATGGGCAATTCAGTCACTAATCAACCTAAGCTGCGTGTTTTTGGACTGTGGGAGGAAGCTGGAGAGAATCCATACAAGCACAGAAAGACATGGGGTCGGCTGGGGCTCGAACCCAGAACCTTCTTGCGGTGAGGTGACAGTGCTAACCACCGCGTCACATAAATATGTGAATTAGATTAAAATAATTCACAAAAGTGTGTAGTATGTCACACACACAAGCAGATGTCATAAGGTAAACCTGAAGACAATAGCAGAGCATTAGAGCATATTAGCAGCAGTAGTGTCACTGATACTATGAATCCAGAAGTGTGGTGGAGATTTATTTTTTTAGGTTTACCATGTTACTGTAGTTTCTTTGGCACAAGTTTATGTTGGAGATTAGGGGGTTGCAATATCAGTTAAAGGCCATCTGAAACACTTATACCAGCCTTAACTAAAAGTTCTGTGTTTCACTTTCACACTTATCTGCAGCGAGGTGATATATTATAAAAATGAGTGTAGACTTTGACCTACTGATAATACCAAGCAAACAGACTAATCACCAGTGAAAGAACAAATGGATAGATAGATGTTAGTATGTAGACTTTTTTATGTTTTCAGTTCTAGATTTCCTTTCTAGATTCCTTAGATGTTTACTTCTCTCATTTTTTCTGCTCCTTTTGCAGCTTCCACTCTAAAAAACAGACCAAATCAAGCTGTTGGTTATAGTGTCCTATCTCTCTGACTACACTGACTGAGATTGTAAACAAAAAAATATTCTTCCTTTAAATGTTTTAAAGGGGGTTTGTAACACTGTGGGCCCAGTTGTTTTCCAGATTATTCATTGCTCTGTTCGTGATTTTTTTAAAAAGGGCTCTTGTCCAACCATGTCATCACTTGATCCCATCGATTTTAACAATTTACAGCCAATTTCTAAGGTCCTACACCACAAGGTAGCGAAAATCAACTGCTCTCTTTTTTCATGAAAACATTATTTTTGAGGAACTTCAGTCAGGTCTTAGAAAAAACATAGTGCTGCAACTGCTCTTCTTAGAGTCATAAATGACTTACTTGAATCTAAATGCAGCTTTCAGTACCACTGACTATGAAATCTGGGTGGGTATTAATGACACTGCAATGACTGAGGTCCTACCCAAAAGACATGCTTGTCTGGGTTGGCATAAGCAGTTGTAGACCAGCCCTCTGGGGTACTGCAAGGCTCTGTGCACAGCCCACTTGTTTTTGCATTTGCATGCTTCCTTTTAGGCCAGGATATATACGTAGACACAATATCAGGTTCCATTTTTACAGGGATGTTGACACCCAGATCTACTTAAGCTGTGACTGTGCATACTGTTATCAGAAAATGGCCAATCTGCTACCTGTCTTCACCATATCAATAAGTGCATGTCGCAAAATGTTCTTCAGCATAATGCTGACAAGACAGTTACTGGTTCAGAGACTACAGGTTCCACCATTTCTGACAGTTTTGGCACACTGTCCCTTTCAGTAACACAACACTGCAGGAAACTGTAATTTATGCATCACTGTTGTGTCTTAACCCACATACGACTCAATATATGAGCTACAGTATCCTTTTTACCACTGCTGAACTTTTTGTGTATTCTGTGTTGTACTGCCAAAGAATATATTTGGGCTCAGTGTCTTTAATCCCCTCAGTTTAATTCACTTATTTCATTTTCTTCCTTTTTATCTATTGTCCTATAAGTTACAAGTGTAGTAACATAGTCAAATTTTACACCTATTGTTTCTGTTAATTAGGAGCAGGTTAGAGGTCAGGTCATCTACGCTTCTGAAGTATTTTAATCAGTTTGTTTTTGCACAGTGTAAAATCACAGGGCAGGATAATCATCAAATTCTGGAATGTTAAAGCCAAAACCTTGAGGTGAAAGTCCTACTTGGAAACTGACCAATTCTTGTTATTTATTGGAAAATACCCCACAGTATTCTGTTATCTGAGTTTGATGTAAGAGTACATTTTTAAAAATGAATTGAGCCAGTAGATATGGAGAGAAGAGTAGGTGTGGTAATAAAACTGTGACAGGCATCCCCACCCTCTTTCTAAAACTTCCTCCTGGAGGTAATCAATCAATTCTACATGTGTTAAGAGTTCGACAGTATTGTTATATTTACCTGTGATTGTATTCATCTTGTATGAGAGTCTGATGTGGTTGTTCATTTACTTCTGTATGATGTTACTGTTCTTTTGGTGTGCTCCAAATGAACTGATATGTCATAGTAAATACATCTAAATGGGCTATACAGGAAAATGCAAACAGTGAAACTGATTCCAATAACAACCTAACACAGCAGGTCAGAATTGTAAACGGAGTCTACAGGCACAGACCTGTATCTGTATTTCTATGTATCCCTAATCTGATACTGAATCATTATGATGGGCTCGGGTGACCCTGTTGGCTTGTTGCCTCTTGAAATCAACAAGTTCCTATAAACATGGCTTACACAGGTCAAAGTGACAAACTCGGGTTCAGGGTAAATGGCAAATCGTTAGCTTTATATAGACTGAACGTGTGTGGCAGCTGCCTACTTACCTTTGCAGAGACAGACAGGGACAGAAACAGACAGCAGGGGACGAACCCGGGCAGGACTTTCTTCCGGTCCATCC